TTATTTTTAGTATGTCAACAGAAAATAGTCAGAAATCATTTTGATAATCTATCAATAATATTTTTAAGGGGCGGAGCTGCAGTAACGAGGTCCTGCCGATACACAGACTCAACCAACCGTGAGTCAGTCTCAGCTGTCAATCATGCTGCTTCATGCTGGACAAACGTCAGTGTGATAAGAACTATCTAACAGTACAGAAACTAAAGTTGAGAAAAATGATTATGACATATACTTTGACTATTTAATTTGGTCCACGTCCCTTCCAATAACATGAAGGAGGCTGGTTTTATGACATGCACTGTAGCAAGCCACCAGTGGGCGATTGAGGTTCTTTGGCTTCACCAAAAAAACAAGCTGAAAGAGACTAAAGTGCTTCATCGAGCTGAGGGGAATTTATTTCTCTTCTAGTGACAACTTTTAAATTGTACTTCATCATCTGAGCTATTGTTAATATAACATTTTGATTTGAGCAGGTTAAACGGTCAATCCCTTGAAGCTTAATATTCTCTCTCCTGATTAATCCATGTTATTATCTTTTCAGAAGCTACTTCTTCATGTATTCTATTATCTCACTTGGTTTTTAAACTGGCAGCTGCAAAATTTTGGTCAGTGTGTTTGACTGAGAGTGGGTGTTTTTCTCTTCCTGGGCCCCCTTCACTCCTTTTTGGACTCACACTGGTGGACAGAGAGCAAGAAAAGAGGGAAGGGAGGGTGAGGGTAAAGAGAGGGGGTTACCATTGAGTTGTCCACCCACACACACGGCCCCCTCTGGTCACCTGCGTGGGTTTGGGGTTAGGACATAGGCATGGATGCAAGCGAGCGCGCACAAAGAAAAGAATAAAAACGACAGCTATCTGACCCTCAGATGTCAAACGTGGCAGAGAAACTTGGAATAAAAGTGGTTTAAATTTGCAAGAAACTTCCTCCAAACTTCAGAAAGGGGTATCGTCAGTGAACACTTCACAACAGAGGAAGGTTCAGGCCGCGAGGGAGAAGGAAAAAAGCTCTCAGAGTAGTTGGCTATAGCATGATCCACAAAATAATACCTAGTTTATCATAATTAGCATTGTTCCAGACTGTCAGGCCCACGAGGCACAGATAACAATGCACTCTTTAATATTTTATTGAGGAGCTGTGGTGAATTACTTGATGTACAATTATGTGAGCCCAGCAGATTCTGTCCTCACCGTCTCCTCCTACATCCCATCTGCCCTGTGTGTCCAGAGTGTGGGTGACTGAAGTAGCTGCGGGGGGGATGAGGAATGATTGTGGAAAATCATAAGAAAACTTGTGATGTAACAGTCCAAGTTGCACTTGTGCTGTTCAAGCTGATGCAGTAACATCCACGGCTGCCAACACAAGTGCAGAAAGACAAAAAAAAAAGAGAGAGGGGGGAAATATAGAATTGAAAGACCCCTGTGACATTCAGAGGCGCCCAGAGGTATTTTATTCTGGCAGAGCTAACTCCTGGCCCAGGGAGACTCCGGAGGATACAGTGAGCCAGGAGAGGTGAGGAGAACAGAGGGGAAGATAGTAAAGTGGTAGAAAGAGGAGTATTTTTAGGGTGGTCTGTTATCTGCGGAGACGAGGGCTGGCGGTATCACAGCCAGGTCACATCGCTGAGGGGGAAACAGCATGGGCTGTCTGCTGAGATGCTAGATAAGGAGGAAGAGAACAATGAGTTCTCTCTCTGACAGCCCTCTGAAACACACACACACACACACACACACACTGACACACACCTACACCACAAAGGCACAAACATAAACTCAGAAGCTCGTAACCACATCCACAGGAAAACACACAGCAGCTTCACGCACACACATCCTCTCACAGATACTTAGAGACCCTCGAAAATATTAAAAGATCACATGAGAACAGAGCATCGGAGCCCCACAGGTGACCTGAGAGAGTTTTATGTGTCTGACGGACAAAACTATATCACTCGGCTGTTTATCTCTGTCTTCCTCGTCCTCTCTCTCTCTCTCCATCCCTCTCTCCTCTATTGTAGCCCTGTGAAGGTGTAAATGCCAGCAGAACAGATGGATGGAGGGAGCCTCTCAACACTCCGACACCATGTGTATGCAGTCCCACACCTCACAAACACACACACATACACACGTACACATTCTGAGGCAAGATGTTGATGGAGATTTCTTCAGTCATCAAAGTGACACACATGGCAGACACACATGGCACACACACACACACACACACACACACACACACACACACACAGACACAGACATACAGTCATGTTTCCATGGCTTCAGAGGACATTCTATTGATTGATATAACACTGATTTCCTGGAGACTTACCCTAAAACTAACCTTAACCTTCAAACACCTTAAAACTTGGTTGATTTACGATATCGGAACTTTAGGTCCCCACAACATGATTAATACCTGGACCAAACACACACACAAGATGTTGATGGAGATTTCTTCAGTCATCAGTGACACACATGGAACACACACGTACACACACACTTTTGGTGTTTTGGTGTCATTGATCAAACCTTCTGTTCGCTTCTTCCTTTGTTTATACCGAGCACATGCGTGCATCAACACAGACGCACGTCCACATGCATATGCACACACAAATTGAGTAATTCGCCAGACGAGCAGCTGTTATGAGGAGAGCCGGGTCCAAACCAAACGCCTCTGACATGCTAATGATGCTTTGTCGACCAGAGGAGTTCGACCACACACACACTGTACAGATTTAACAAAAAAGACTATTATCTGTCACATAACCTGAAGAACATCGATCCGTTCGGATGAATATTAAATGATATGAGCTGCTGCTGCGATGTAAGCAAGGACTGCAAGCCAAATGGAAGCCTAACTCGCTCCAGGAATATCTTAGCGAGGCTTTAAGGGAATATCCTTTTTCAACACCCAACACTCCCCCCACCCTACATGACCACCACCCACCCATCCAATCAAATCCTCACTGGCAATGCGCTGCTCCTCATCTCTCTTCTCAGCTTCTTTTGTTCATCTCTCTCCGCCGCCCACACACCTACCGTCCCTCGGGCTTTTCTCTTTACACTCTCGCACACATGCACAAATTTACATTTGGCTACTTTGTATGTACTTTCTATTTTCCTCCTCACTATTAGAATCTTGGAGGTACAGTGCCTGTATGAATACAGGTTCATGTTTGGGTATATATTAATAAAAACACACGCAAGGCCCGATATTTACTGCTTTACAATACAGATGTGTGGGCAGCAGCCATCTGCGGCCCCAAACCGAACAAAAAGTAAGTGTGTGTGCGTGGCGTAGGGCTAAGGGCCAAACTCAAAGTAGGGGTTTGACGCCTGGGGCCCATTGGGGAAACCCCCCTCTAGAGAGCTGGGAATCTCAGGGGAGAGTGGGAAAAACATCCCGACGGTCATCAATCAAAACTTTGCTGACACAAATGACCAGAAACAACAGACCGCTCTTCATCCATGTCACCACGTAGCCTCTGCCCCACAGCCATGTCCCACCCACCTGCGGCACTACCCCATAGGCCGAGCAGCACGAAATGCGACACGATTGGCCCGTCGGTCCCCGAGCGAAATCGTGATCCCCTCTCGGCTAATTGGGTCTTTGTGATTGCGCAGTCTGTCGTGGCGCTGGGGGAGAATGAACGTGAAAAACGTATTATGGTGGATGGGGGAAGAGTGGCAGGCTGAAGCAAGAGAGATCGCTTTTGGTGTTTCAAAGCGCCAGATGCTCTTCCTGGGTCCATAATGGTGCCTTAGAGGGGATCGAGATGGTTTCGGCATAGCAACTGCGAAGACACAAAGCGAGATGGAGACAGGCCTGGGATGGAGAATCACACAAGCACATACATGCAAATGCAGGAGCACAAACATACGGCACCCAACAGGCCAAACACTTAATATTTAGTGCTCCTAGTTGGTCTTTTTCAACAAAGATAACCACAACCTAAACAAGAACAGAAGGTGGAGCACGTCTCTGCTTCAACTTTTATAATTAGAGAGGGAGAACCCCACTGGATCAATGGAAATCAAAGTATTCATTTCTTCAAGCTGTGGCTCCATCGAGAGCGATTGTTCACCAGCGTCTTTGAGAGAGAGGGAGCGTGTAGGAGGACGGGTCATGAGCCTCCTCTTTGTTTGCTCCAACACGCTTCCACACAAGGACGCACTCCTGCGTCTCCCTGTGTCCATCCAGGGTTTAGAGATAAAAATATTCAAAACTCTTCTTGACAGATGGTGGAGGGATATTGAAGCTTCATCCCTGAGATATTCAACAGCCTGTAATGGAATACATCCCTGATCATTCCTCAGGGTTATCCTCCCCCCACAACCACCAACAGATGGCGCTGCAGTCACACGCCTCATTGTGAATGCTCCTCAGGACAAAGGGCCTTCTACAGGCTTCCTCCCCAATTCAAAGAGTCTTATCAGGAAACGGTGACACATTCAGGATTTGAAATTCATGCAACAGCCATGTGATTTCAAAAAAGGTGATGACGTTTATGACCCCATAGCTGCTATGTGCCAATTATCACGGTTATATGATGGGTGTATCCTCGATTATTTAACTGAGATCATTGGGTTCAGAGTTTAGTCCAAACTGCTCCTTTCAGATCATAGAGCGTCTCATTGGAAAAAGAGAACACCTCACCAATATCTGATCAATCTAAGGGTTAATCAGCTTTATGCAGTAAAGTGTTTTAATGTTCTCCCAAAGGCGTGTTTGAAATTCCCAGAACCCACAAATAACCAAAATCTACCAAGTTATCGCCCATCTATGTTACCAAAATGTTTCAGATGTTTTTCAAGACAATATTAGCAGCGTAATACTATAATAATAATAATAATAATAATAATGATAATATGGACCTTATAAACCCTCTGTCATTTGGCACATGCCGTTTGTGGGAAGCATCTGAGTGGAAGAGACCGCCCCACGTATCCGCCGCTGCATCCAACTCGCTTTCACACTTGGGTTCATTCACACACACTTTTCCCACCGGGATGGAGCCGCTTCAGCCAGCAGCGCGCACTGCAGCCAACTGGGGGAACGCACACTTCCACGCATCACACATGGCTGCGGATTTATGGCGAATATTTTCCACCTTCGTCTGGATAATTGCACTGGTTTCGTGCTCGAGGACGAGGATTTATCCGCCGAACGAAGGTGAGTTATAGAGGAGGGGGTGGCTCCGGAGCTGTGTGCCGCTGCAGCCGGGAGCTGGTGCCGCGGCGGTGCGCCTCGACCGTGCGCATCCCAACCGTGATGGGAAGGAAAGATAGAGCAAGGTTCGAATAAGCGTGAAACTTGAACAGCAATTAAGTTGGATTCGGGAGGAAACATTGCCCAGTTGTTAATTCTCCTGGTTTCTCTCAGAGTTGTGTCTTCAGGGAGTTCAGCTGCAGGGTCTCTTGGTCTGTTGATTCTTGGATATTATGCGCGCAGTGAGTGATGAGTTCACTGTGGAAGACTTTTATTCATGAGCAGTTAAAGCTTAAAAGTCACTTTTTATTCGTTTCTTTGACCGTGAATCCCACTTTACGCAATTGATCCAATGTGCCATTTTGAAATCATGTAGCTATTATAGAATAAAAATGACGATAATCAATATGTATAATCTTAGTCTACAGCAAATAAACAGGAGCCAACCAGTTTGTCCCAGTGATCTAATGGTAATCTTGAGGTGTGGTTAACTTCCAAGTATAAAAGACTTAACTTCTCCACTCTGTTATAGAATTCAATCATTTTTTGTTTTATTTGAAACCACCTGTGTGTGTGTGTGTGTGTGTGTGTGTGTGTGTGTGTGTGTGTG